CCGGCGTGCGGGCCGCGCGCGCAGCGCAGCGGAGTGGAGCATTTGTTTGCATGTCATGAACTTTTACTACAACAAATAAGGACGGAGCAAGTAAGAAAAAAGAAGAGGAGACAAAGTGACAATGAGACGAGCGGTAGACGGTGGCTAGTGGACGGCAAACAATATGCATTAACGCTAGAGCAGAGACAGGAGACAAAGACTGTAGACGAAAGACAGAAAATGATGGTAGACCAGAGACAAATGACGGAGATAGAGATAAGAGACGAGAGACTGACAAGGGGGAGTGAAGGATGGGAGATCATTAACTCTCGATATTACATATCTGCATTTTCAGATTGAGTCATCCTATCTTTCCCTGTTTTATTGTTTTTCGACCCCAAGATCTATCAACAATATCCTTAAAACATTGTGGAAATATTATGGAAAGATTGACTATTACCCCCCCCCCCCCCCCCCCCCGAAAAAAAAAATCTTCATTTAAATTAAAAAAAAAACTAAACGCAAGTACATAAGTATGTGGATATCCTCAATTAAATAATTGGCCGCTGAATGTCACATGCGTACCTAAAGACAATCCGGTAGATTCTGTCTCGTACTCCTTAAATGCACCATAGCCTGTAGGAAAACAGGGCAGCGGAGAAGCTCGCAATAAATTATTGAAAATTAGATTCTTTTAATTTTGTAGGGAATAACTGGAGCTTAATCTGTCGCTGGAATCAGTGCTTATCATTTTATACACACACCGATATGCATTGCATTCTTCATCCTTATTCTCTCCGCGCGAGATACGACATAAATTCACGCAAGGATACCTGCGTTAGCGTGTCTTGTTCCAATCCGTCAGAGCTCCGCACTGCTCTGACCCCGAGCGGCGAATGACCGGTCTCGGTGTCGCGGCGCAGTGGGCGGAGCTTAGCTGCGGCGCAACAGCTGACGCTGCTACGCCATGCTAGCCTCTACCACGGCGCAGAGTTTTCCGATCAATCTTTACCATTACAAGTCAATGACAAACGCCTTTCATTTTGACATTTTGTTAAAAGACCATATTAGTAAAAATTAGGTAGGGCCTTGAAACTCATTGTGTCAAAGTTTGGTTGAAATCAAGCGTATAAGTAACGAGAAAGAGCCAAAAAGGACTGTTCCAGAGGTTCTGAAATGCATAGTAGTAAACCAAAACAAGCAGAGCATGTGGGGGAAGGAAGAGAAAACAGATCAGCCGAACGCCGGAAGAGGCGCTGCACCTCGAGGCACGCGGGTCATCGACAGAGCCACTGACAGGTCACTGACTTCTGACCGTCTGACCGCCGCCCCCGCACACGCACACACGCACCGGCCGCCCCCACAGGCCCGCGCAGGTAGGCGTGCGGGCGGCGGCGGCTGACAGTGACGGATGGAGGGCGCGGGAGTGACGCCGATGACGCCCCGCCGCCATCCGTGATGACGCGCGCCCACCCTGATGAGGCCTGGCCTGTCCCCTAGTGGATGCTTGGCTCGGCTCCACGGTCCGACCTGGCTCCTGCTCCATCTCTAATGAGACCAGATTTTAGTTAAGCCTGGCTCACTACCCTAATGAGGTCAGATTTTAGTTAGGTTTTAGCATGTGACGTCAGAGGAGCGTTGAAAAGACAAATCATGACACTTGGTAGCAAAACCGATTTAATACTAGACAGGTGAGAGTGAAAAGGGACAAAGACAGTCAGCTTCCAGTCTGGGAGATGAGTACGTGTCTTTGGAAATATGAAAATGCAGAACGTAAGAGACTAAGAGACTTAGAGAACGTAGGGGCCAGTTGCCACGGGTCAGCAGTCGGATGCCGGAAGCGGCCCAACCACAACTCGGAAGTCATCAGCCGGGTACACAGTCCGCACAGCGGGAGCGGCGGCGCGCTGCCAAATCAGCGCGTGCGGCCCCGATGGTGGGCTGCGTGTGACAGGTGTCGTTTGTCAGCGTGGCGGACAGTTGGCAGCCATCGGCACGCAGAGGTGAACGAACAGCGCGGAATGACGGACGGCACTGAGCGACACGGGCAGTGGCGAATGGTGGCAGAAGTCAGCACACGGACCAATTATTTAGGCATGATAAATTTCATTACGCAATGAACAATGCTGTCATGGTTCAGTGTTGTGTTTTTCAGTATGCCTAGTAAATTAAAAACTTTTTGTCATTAAATTCTTACGCGATAACAAATATATCAACGACTGTCTCTATTTACCCATCAAATCATCATGAAGTCAGTATGATACCCGCCTTTCATCTGCATTTTATCTCCGACGGATTCATGAGATTCGAGAGATTTATCAGATCGCAGTTGTCGCTCATAAAAAACGACGCCTCCATTGTTTTCAGCCAGCTTCTCGCAAATCCGCCGGATCTCCTTCGATATGATAGCGGCGGCGATTTTCCGTCTCCAGAGCAGATAGCAGGCCAGGTAAGTACCTTATCATTACCTCCGCGGAGGTTCACTCATTTCCTTCTCCTTGGAGCGGACGGCGCGCGTCCCACACTGTTCTCTGATTAGGCAGAGGTGGGAAAGTGGACTTCATCCGCCCACCACAATAGACGCGACCTTCTTAGTGACCTTCTTCGAATGAATATCTAAGGCGCGCGCCGCGCATTCTGACTGGCATTGTCACGGCGGCCGGGGCGCCATGCCGCGCGAGGCCGCCCACGGACAGCGCGAATGCCGAGCTCGTCGCCCGTGCGGCCGACACCCGACTTTCTCGAGGCGAATTAGAATATGTTCATTACGTTCGACTGGTCAGGAGAAACCGGTCTCGAGCGGCGTGGGGTGGAGAAGGGGCGGGCGCGGGCGGGCCCGTCGACAGGACCAGGATTCGGGATCATCTCTAGCCTCGAAGACCGGCGCGCCGCGTTCCTGCGGGGTCAGACGGCGGGTCTGGCAGCTGGGAGGACGGCGGGACGCCCCTCCCACCGGCGCGCCGGCGGCCCGTGAGAATCAGTCCGTGGTCGCCGTCGGCCGACGGTCGGGTGCCGCCGACACCGAGCCATCACGGAACTGCCAGCGCCGCCGGCGACGAGCTCTGTTAGCCCATCGCTGGGCTGGCGGCGTTGCGAGCGAGTCCCACGCGCTCCGGCGGCGCACCGGCACAGGAAACGACAGACCGTTCCCATGATTTCGTTTATGAAACGACATCGGACGCCAGGACCGTGCAAGAGTCCATTTCTCTTGGCAACACTTGGGGCGGGTCGGCGCACCGTGACGACGCGCCACATGGCAAGCGATGCATGCTACGCCGCCAGGACTCGTGGTGCTTGAGCAATGCTTAGCGAAAGTGATCGCGAACGCGAGCAGTTTTAGCAACAACCACGGCGCACTTTCCTCACTAGCAGTGCGTGCGTAGACAACTCATGGCTGCCACTTTCATCGCTCCTAATTGCTGTCGCAGTTTTACGCGGACGCACAGAGGCGAGCAAAATGATGAGAAGAAGCGGGGGTGTGGAAACACGCTCTCGTGAGTGTTTGTCGAGGAGGAACGACATCACTGATGACAATATGAGTGATAGTTGAGAAGCTGCTGATCTGTTGCTGCTGATCTGCTGAGAGAATCTGTTGCTGTCTGGCATCTGGTTCACTCATGAACTGTCAGCGAGCGTTTGGGAAAGGAATCAGGAGAAAAAGCCCTGTTGACACTGGTCTTTACTACTTGAAAAAAGAAGCACAGGTCACCCATGACCCGTGGGTGGGCAGACCGGGCAGTTCTGAACTGGCACGCGGTGACAGATCGGTACAAAGCGGCCTGTCAGAGTCGACTCCGGGTGACAGATGAGCGCGTGACAGTTGGCTCCGCTCCTGTGACAGCCCGGCGAGCCCGTGACGGTGTGACGGCCCGTCACGTCACGCTGAGTCGCGTGCGCCGACGGTTTTTACTTTCACCGTCATCATTTGGGTCTCTCCCTGTCTCAGACACACACTCGTGTAGGCGATCTGATTGGTGTCATCAAAACGCCATGGTTCCTAATGTCGCCGCCTGTCATAGCTGGTGGTGTTGTGGACGGTTTGAATGCCCAGAAAACCCAGAGAGGGATAGCTTCAGACCACAGCGACCAAATGGAAAAGAAAGCGAGATAAATGAACAGAGCAGGCGGTGTTATATGTAATGAAGTCTCCGAGCGCACAGCGCAGTTAATTAAAAAGCGGAAAGGGTGAAGACCATTTGGGATTTTCAGCGCCTCCAGCTGTCTCCATGGGCAGCCAAGAGATTCGGAAAACACCATTAGCGAATGACAGATAATCCAACAATGAGTTATTGAATCCATCAACTGTATGGAGTGACCATGAGGCAGTTACTATTGGAGCATGCTTCCAGCGAAACGGCGCTAATGCCAACATAAATTAATTTCGTCACACCAAGGCTAATCAACCGGGCTAAGCCGAATCAAGCGGAACATATTGAACAGATGCGACAAAACGAGCGCAGCGGGACAAACAGTGACCGTTTTCAGAGTGGAACGCTCTGTTAAACGACTTCTGATGGCCTGTTCGAAGGAGCGAAGACGAGCGTTAGGCGTTAGCAGACCATTGTGACCGACAAGCGTTGGCCTATTCACGCCACCTGTGGGCTGCGGCTAAAAGAATTGAGTGGCATGGATTATCAGCATTTTATGCCGGCTTTGCTGTAAAGGTGCTGAATTTGAGCTTAACACACGAGCTGGCAAAACTGTGGTGGCGTATTGAGCTCTCGAATATGATATGCGTGATATAAATATGCATGTTTATTTTAAAGATAGAATAACTAAATTAATTTCAAACTTATGTGTGCACATCATTTTTGCTCAACAATTCAGTGATTAGGACAGCGATTCACGTGAGCGCCTTGAACTTTTGATCCTGCACCTCAAGAGGAACAAGAATACGCCATTTTGACAAGGTTATCTCCTCCATCTTTTTTACGCAGTCGCCATCTCCGCTGTGTTTCCCGGCTCGTCCGACCGTTGCCCCCGCGTGCCCCGGTGCCCCCGCGGGGCGTCTGAGGACTGACCTTTGCGCTGGACACGCTCCTCGTGTCCTCAGCCGTGTCCGGGTCACCGACGCTGCTGCGGCCGGAGGCGCGGTTCGAGTCCCCTCTCCGCCATGGGAACAGCACGCTGCGGGCACAGACAGACAGACACCATCAGTTCAACAGTCAGAGGCATAGACACATACATTACTCCGTGTCATTAGAATTTACATACAGGCGGCCACGGAAATGCTTCCAACAGCGGCGCACCGTTAGAGACGTGGGTGTGAACACTCGGGCTGCTCCTCAAACGTCGATCGGTATCTGATAGGGACAGAACAGCGCCTGAGGTGTCGGACCATCAATAGGGACGTTAGCGGTAACAATCGCTGCCCTCAGAATGCGGCCAGAGTCGCGAGAGGTCAGCGCACGGTGCGCCGCGGAACGACCGGTCGGCACTTAGGCGTGACAGACAAGAAATTTAGCGGTTAGTCTGTCGTCGTTAAAATAGACTCGCGGTTTTCCTGGATCATCTCACAAGCACCGTTCAGGATCGTTTATGCGTGTTAGTTCGGCCCATCCCATACATTTGGGAAAGAGGATACTTTCGCCCCGATCTGACCCCACTGAGGCGCACCTGATGGATTTGTAACGGTATTTGAGACGAGTAGAGGTAGTACGACGAACAACAGTTTCAGAGGTGGCGACAGCGGCACTGGCTGCACCATTTGCGGCACCAGGGGCGCCGGTGGCGACTCCATGGGCACCACACTCGCAGACACCAGTCCCAGCACCACCGGAGTCAGCGATGGTGGATGAAACGTTCCAAGCAGCCTGGCGCGATGCACTATTCCCACTCAAACGCAGTCCCCGTGTGGTGCGGAGCAGTCCATCCAGCGGCTCTCGACTGGACATCGACGAGCCGACAACGGTGGGGTTGACAGCTTCTGTGACAGAGTTCAGGGTCCGAGCTTTGCGTTCAGCGTTCTCTGCAGCCATCTTTCCTACATCCGACATCACACCAGTTTCTCCAAATGCCATTGTGTGTCTCTTGTTCACGGCCGGTGGCTTAGAGTCAGCAGCGAACCTAACCGAGCGCCGACGCGTCGTTTTCGACGGGGAGTTGGAGGTGGCGCGCTCGGAGCGGAGGGTGGCTCGTCGCCGGAGTACCTCCGACGGAGGAGTGGGTGTCGGAGGGAAGACGACAGCGCGGTCCGACCAGAACATGGACAGACCGCGACCAACGGCGTCCTCCAGAGACATGGCGGCGAGATGAGAGGAGAGAGTGGAATTAGTAAGGTGGGAGGGACGATGTTGTCACGTAGGACCACGGGGAGGGGCTTAAATAATGCAGCGCAACGTTTGCAACAGCACCGAGACGACGATCATCGTAGGGCTTCACTTCACTTCGTCCGTACACAAGTGAGCTTTACACTGGCTTCACTCGGTTTACCGTAACCTCACTCTTGATGCAACACACCACTGTCTCACTGAATCGGTCCAACAGCTAACGACACACTCCAGTCTCAGTTCACGGACGCTCCGCCCCTTCTGTGAACTTCTCCCTGCGCTGGGCGGACCAGACCCAGACCCCGCAGTCCGGGGCGGTGACTCAGACCCTCCAGCCAGTCCTGGCACCGTCTGGAGCACGCCTCAGACGGTCGGCGTGCGTCCCGTCACAGGGCGTCACGGCGGCCGGAAGCCGTCACAGCGTACGTGACGGCCGTCACAACACAGACGCCAGCGCGCACCGCCACCTGGGCATCATATGTCGCTCACAGTCCGCGCCCCACCGCTGACCTCGGCACAGCTAACGAGACACATATGGTCCGGGCTTTTTTAGTCCGCGCGCCGGCCGGCACACTCGCAGACCCAGCTGGACGCGACTCCCGCCAGGACAGGTCGATGCACTACGAGGCGCTACTGTGGATCTCTCTGGATGAATTCAGTCACCGAAAGTCACTGGCGTCACCGACGGGACTGTACTGCGATCACTGCAGGGACACTGGCGCACACTTTGCACACTTCCCTCGCGGCGGAGAGTAAACGGACGCGTGCAGCGTTTCTGTGCGACTGCCGGAGCGGGCCTGTCAGCGGCGAGTGATGGCCCGGCGGCCTGCCTGAGTCACTGCTACCCGCTGCAGATCGGTCCGAGGCTCCTGCGGGGTTTCAGCCCGGCCCGCTCTGCGGTCAGAGGTCACCAGCAGCCGACCCTGAGGGGCGGCCGGCGATCACCGCAGCCCGGCTCGGGTAGCACCGCGCTGAGGTCAGGTCACGTGTTTCTCGACGGAGGACACGAGAAGGAGATCGGGCGTCACTGAGCTGTCAAAGGCTCCGCACGGGATTACAACCCCGTGTCATTCGCACGAAACACGACAGGAACGCACGGAATCACCGGAACTGTCCGTCTAACCACTCGAGTTCTCGTGTCACTCCGCACTTTAGCAGCCTGTCCGAGTAACCTATCAAATGTCACTCGTTCTCCGCCTGACCTGCCCCGCCCCGCCGCGCTCGGTCACCGCGTACCGTCCTCACTACCGTACCGCCCCGCCGGCCGTCCGTTCTACACTGAGCCGGCGACTTATCGCGCCCACCTCACAGATAAACAGGCGGGACCATTGGCTCTATCGCTTAATGTCAACACCGCTCCATCAGGGACTCAGCGCCGGCGGCAATTAGGTGAGACGCCTCGGCCCGCCGGCAGCCAGCACGCAGATGCGTACAGCGTGCGGCGCTCGCCAGAGGCGGAGTCAGGGACGGGGGTAAACGGGTGTGTGGTCATGTTTAGAGACGTTTGACGTCATCCACGACACGCCTGTTGAAATACGAATGGGCGTTATGTACGATAAATATTTTCATAAGACAAGTTATTAGGTCCAACAACAGTTGCTGATCTATCTTGAAGTTTAAACAAACATTTCAGACGTTTTGGTCGATATGTTATATTTCCGCTCCTTTCATGTTTCTCCAGACGACTTAGTCCGCCACTGCAGAAGGCCTGGCGAATTGGCCAGCAGTTCGCTCAAATAACAGCGCCGAGCACGTCCGGAGTACGGAGATAAAACACGTTTCGGTGGCCTGACCCAGATAGTGTGTGTTTGGGTTGGAGCGGCACTCGCAGGACGGATGGTGACGGAAGACGGGGAGCGGTGCAGCCATTTCGTGCTCGGCCCAGCCAGCGGCAATTTGTTACCGCTCTCAGCTGGATTCAGAACTCTCAATGACGTCATAGCGAGTCCGGCGCGCACGCGGGCGGGTTTAAAAATCGTCCCGGACGAGCTAACGAGGCGCCGGACGGGCGAGTGACGAAGCGATTTTCACATGGCGAGCTTTTGGAAGTCGTGAGTGAGTTTCGTTTTCACACAGCGACGTCAGGAATGTGGTTCGGTGTGAAACATCCATTACGACGCGGGTCAACCGACGGAGAGCACGGCTTCTCCATAAACCTTAACCCTATTCCTGGCGGGGGGGGGGCCTCAGGAGCCCCCCCCTGAGGTTTTTTGGTTATTTCTCCCAAACGCGTTGAGCTAGGAAGCTCAAATTTTCTGACTTTTCCTAAACGGCTTCTACGCAACATGTCTGAAAATTTTGAGTTGATCTGACCTCAGGTCAGGTCACCAGAGGCGGTTTGGTGACCCTACCTCAGAAAAGTTTGCAATCACGCCAGAGCTAGAGTTTTTGACCGATCAAGTTCTTCTCTTCAGGCTTTAGTTAGGGTACCAGTATGTGCAATTTGTATATCTCGGAATTTTGATATCGGTGACCTAAGGTCAGGTCAAGTTTCGCGACCTCCCCATTATAAGTCAATGGGGGAAAAATCAACTCCCTGTTTTTACCACTAAAACGGGTCGGAATGGCCCCATATACCATACATGACTTCATATACGATCAACCTTCACTACCTTGAGGTCTGTTTTGCTGTTGGGCAGCTGTGAGGTCATGTGACGTCATCAAAGGTCACCAAAGGTTTTTGGCCAATAACTCCGTACAGGAACAAGATACAGACGCGTGGATGGTCTCATTGTGTTCAGCTCGTCAAGACGCATCGAATGATATACATGATGACCTCGAGGTCACGTGACCTGAGGTCAACCTTTGACCTTGACCTTTCGAGGTCAACATATATATCATTCGATGCGGATTGACGAGAGGATCACGATGATGCCCTTAGTTTGTTCCTATCTTGACTAATTCGAAAGTTATTCGAGAAAAACTCTCTCCATATCTAGCGCCGCCATTTTGACTTTTTCGACCCCTGTGACGTCATCTTTGACCTGACCTGAAAATGACCTTAGTAAAAATTGTAGATCTTGACCGTGCGTATCCGATGCCGTTTACCGTTTGTCGCTGCGATGTGTAGTTTTTGAGATCTGAAGGGGAGGCCGAATCGGCCCCCCCCCCCCGCCAGTTTCTTGCCCCGGCGGAGCCCGCCAGGAATAGGGTTAAGATTTCAGACTCCCGAGTCCAGATTTCGGAGGCGTGCGGTGGTGGCAAGGAGTCGGATCAAAGTTGAACTGTCACCAAGCAGTGGCAACTGCCAACCTGACAAACCTGGCGTCGTAGCCCGAACAAACACTAGTCTGGCCTTCCGTCGGCAGCGGGCCGGGCCGGACTGGTTGTCGCCACTTTTTGTCGCTGCTCGCGCTGGGTCAATGTCATATAAACACTGACGGCATCGGCATCCGGGCCAGCAGCGCCTTACGGACCGGACGACTGTGACTCATAGCTGAGCAGCGGGGTCGGTCGGCTGGTGCGTGGTATGTAAGGCACAGAAGCCTGTCACCTCCGCGCAGGAGAGAATTCACTTGGGGATGATTCAATCACAGACTTTTTGTTGTGAGTGACCGGGATTTGAAGATGATTCCATCAGTGGATCTCACGACTACCAGTCGTACCGTTACGGCTGACTAAAACCCCAAAATCACTCAATAGGGGAGAGCGGGGCCAGTTGAAACACGGGGTCAGATGAAACATGGCTTTATTTTCAACAGTATGCAACATATGGCGTTGCCGACACCACTGCGCATCCGCGCTCGACCACTTCCTTTGTCAACGGCGTTTGGGCGGCAAACGGACGGTTATTTTGATTTGACACTTGTTTTTGTGTTTTTGAGGGGCGTTTGGGAGAAATCGTTTTTATGAATATTT